GGGAATTTCTTAAGTAGTGGGCAACCTGTCTCTCTTTCCAGCTTGGAATGACAGATCGGGTCACCTGCTAACCAACAAGAAGTGTTGGAGATGGACTGAAACCTATCTACCTACCTGATTAATTGTACAGGACACTACCCCTCAGCTTTGCAGTGGTAAAGAACCTGCGTTCCTGTCATCTGGACTGACTATTCAAGGCTATAGACTCTGTGAAGAACTAGTCGTTGGGTTGTCACTCAACACCTGTGACCCCCCCCCCCCCACATCATCAGCAATGGTTACAATTTCTACAAGACGGTGTCAACCTCAACCAAACACCCCAGTATAACTGTACATATTAGCGTTGAATTCAAATGTCATTTTTCTATTTCATTTTTCCTTTTTCTTTCAAGTACAGGTCCTCCATCACAAATCCAGGCATCATTGGGACCTGTAGTGTGCCGGATTACTGAGTTTGCCGAATTACAGAGTGGTTAGGTTAGAATACACTTAATAAAATTAACCAACTTGACTTACACAGTTCATTGAACATCGGCAAAAATCGAACATTTCCGCTACTTTGAGCTCAATTTCAAGGTACTTTTCGTCATGAAAGCAATCAAAATCATGTCTATTTCTGTAATATATCTTCCATTCTATCAAATGAGTCCAAAAAAAATGAGAATACAACCATAAAAACCATATGAAAATATACTGCAAAGAGGCAGCTAATGGCTGAGAAGTGAACTCCCTTATTTATCGTCCGTCTTTTTTATTTTTGCTGTACATTAAGAAGCATCTTTCCATCATACATTGCCCAGGTTTCAATGAGATAGCCCAGCAAACAACCGAGAAAAAAAAAATATTGACCAAAAATCATATATGACAAGCCCAAGCCAGGTACTGGAAATAAGTCACTTTGTCTGACTTTTCTGGGTTATCCCTGGTTCTCTATACATACACTGCTATGTATGATAATCTATGTAACTGTATTTGTGTATACCTGAATAAACTTATTTACTTCTAGTCTGTCAACTGAGTACAAGAAACTGCCCATTCACTTATTTCAACTACCCAATAAAGTGGTCAGAAATTGGCAATTTCGCCGATTTCACACAAATTTCAACAGATGCCAATTTCAAAATAGTGTCCAGAATAAACAATGCAGACATTCCTGGCACTAAAATAAAATTTTCTCTGTTCATTAGTCACGGCTACAAGCCCCTCTTATATTACTCTTGCTTATCATTTGGAATTCTTATTCACAAAAAATAGAAGATTTACTGTTATGCAGACTACTGCATTATTGTAATAATTGTATAACTAATGTCAATCCATTCTTGACTCCGTACTGGAATTTGGACTGGCCGGCGGACAAGTATTGGACGGTGACATCATTTGTTTACTCTTGAGCTTCGCTAAAGAGTAGAACATTTTCGCTACTGTGAGCGCAATTTCAAGGTACTTTTCATCATGAAAGCAATCAAAATCATATCTATTTCTGTAATATATCTTTCAGTCTATCAAATGAGACCAAAAAATGAGAATATAACCATAACAACCATACAAAAATATACCGCTAAGCGGCCACTAATAGCTGAGAAGTGAACTCCGCTATTTATGGTCTGATTGCTTTCATTTTTGGTGTACATGAAGAAGTAGCTTTCCATCATACATTGCCCAAGTTTGAATAAGATAACCCAACAAACAACTGAGAAAATAATAATATAATAATAATAATAATAATAATAATAATAATAATAATAATAATAATAATAATAATAATAATAATATCTTTATTTACTACACGTACATGTACAAGGTATACAGGCCTAGCTGACATCAGTGACATACTACTGTATAGAAAGGCACTTGTTATGCTGAGTATTTCAAGAAAATTAGGTCAGTGTCCCAGGATAACACCCACACTAGTCGACTAACACCCAGGTACCCATTTACTGATGGGTAAACATAGACAACAGGTGTAAAGAAACACGCCTAATGTTTCTACCCTGGCTGGGAATCGAATATTTACCAAAAGTCATATATGGCTAACCCAAGTCAGGTACTAAAAATAAGCCACGTTGACTTTTTTGGGGTTATCCTAGGTTCTCTACACATATGCTGCTATGTGTGATAATCTATAGAGAGAAAATAACTTTTCTGTTTCATGTTTATGGTGGAGTACGAGTGCATATCAAAGTTAGCCCTGTGCTATACTCCGTTTTCTCTAATATAAGCCACCAAAACAAGGATAGGAGAATGGTATTTGTTTACCATATCCTCTTTATAACTCTGTCGAACTGCTCGGTGTTATGCCAAATATTATTCATTCTGGAGTATTTAACATGTTTTATGTTATTTATATTGTTTCTTATGTCATATTAGATCAACTGTGATAGGCAAATAAGCTGTAGTGTTGATATTAGCGTAATAATAAAGCATATTCTCCTGCATCATGAGACTGAGCTCATGGCAACCGACAGTGGCTTCAAAGCCACCTTATCTTTAATGGATAATGTACTGTGTAGGTGCTTTTCTTTTATTCACTGGAACCATGGCTAGGGCTAAAAGCAAGTTAAAACAATAAATGGAGAAAAAGAAATTGGAATGACTTATGCAGCAAGTAGCACCACCAAACAGTACCAGCAGGTTGGTGTGGCGAACCCTGGAAATTTGAAATTATGCTAGCCAAAATTAGTGCCGAATAACTGAAGGAACCGAATAACTGATTGCCGGATTTGTGATGGCGGACCTGTAGTATATACCTTCATATTTCAATGTTTTATCTTTGCATTAATAAATAATAAAGTGTTTATCTTTGTGAATTTTTATTTCTTTTTCTATTCATTAATTTTCCTGAGGAGAAGCCAGCCTTGGTAATACTGTCTGAAGTTGTTACAGGGCTGAGTAAGCCTTCACAACCCCTCCCTCCAACACTTTCAATATTTTCTTGCTTTTACATTAGACAAAAATTAAATTTACAAGCAATACAGGTTTACTTGATTATTAACATACAGTGCCTTCACTAATACTATTTAAAAATCTACATACAGTACATTTCTCTCTCCATCAGCAGTCATTCACATTATTATTATAATCAAAACCAAGTGCTAAACTCACCAGGGTCATTCCTTCACAGAAAAAATAAATTCATTCACACAATATGCACTTGTAATTTATTTTTAATTAATCTCTCTAATTCTAAATTGATTAGAAAATTTCAAATTTTTACCTAAAGCTCTTGCTGCATGTGAAGCAAGAGAATGGTCTCAGGTCCCAGTGAATTAGGTAGTGCCGTTTTAGAGTACTCAGTGTTGGGAAACTTTGAGAACATTCCTGGCATTGGTAAGGAGGCTTAGTAACTGAAAAATGTAAATTTAATTTTAATAACAAAGTTAAAATTAAGTATAAACTCATTATATATTCATTAATAGGATGCAATAAACATGCACAGGTCAAACATGGCCTTGGGAATGTGATGCAATCTGGTTCATTCCAAGAAAGGCTTTGGAGTCAAGGAATTAAACCTACCCTACACACCAGTATGGTGTGCTACAAGAGAAAAGAATGGAATTTTTCCTGGGTCACCAGTATGGTGACCCAGGAAAAATTAAATATATTCTCCATTATTCATTCAATAGCTGTCTTGCTAGAAACATACAGGCATTATAGTTCAAATGACTCTCCAAACTTCAACATCCTCACCCTTCCTTTAAATTGCAGGCACTGGACTTCTCATCTCCAGGACTCATGTCCAGCTAACCAGTTTTCCTGAATCTCTTTCTCACACTTCAACAGCACATCAAGCAATAAAAACACTTGTCTCCATTCATTCTGATCTAACAAGCTCACAAAAGCTTGCTGGATACTTAAGCCACTAGAACTCAAAAACTCGACCCTCTCCCTCTAACCTTTCCTGGGATGATCCCTACTACCCCACCTTCCACCCCAGCTTTATACACCCTCTGGGTCGCTAGAAGCGATGGCGACTCTGGTGTTAGCTTGTGAAAGTACTTTTGAGATGTTCAGTGCAACCTGGCTGTTGGGAAGAATTATAACTTTGCTGGGAGTGGTGTTGATGCGTGGAGAATTTATGATCTGAAGAGCTCTTTTCTTGCAGTCTTTGATGAAAAAAGAAGGAAAATGTAACTCAGTGAATGTTTGGTGAATGTATGTACACTCCTCGTCAAGAAACTCAGGACTACAAATTCGGTATGCTCTTAGGAAAAACCCGATGATGATGCCTCTTTTGGTCTTGGTATCTTGACTGGAATAGAAGTGTGTGAGATCATTTTTATTGGTGGGTTTCCGATAAACTTGAAATCTTAGGTTGTTGTCTACTTTGTGAATGAGGACGTCAAGGAAAGGTAGCTTGTCATTGGACTCTTCTTCTAGTGTAAACTGGATCGCCGGTTCAACGCAGCTCTTCAGATCATAAATTCTCCACGCATCAACACCACTCCCAGCAAAGTTATAATTCTTCCCAACAGCCAGGTTGCACTGAACGTCTCAAAAGTACTTTCACAAGCTAACACCAGAGTCGCCATCGCTTCTAGCACTTCAATAAAGGATATAACCAGGACAAAATCCAAGCACCACGAACCAGTCAATGCAGGAGTTTACACTATACCCTGTGGAGGCTGTGACAAGATTTACATAGGTGAAACAGCCAGAAACCTCGACACCCGCCTCAATGAACACATTTACGTATGTAGGAACGATAACTTGAACAACGCCTGTGTACAACACCGAAATTCCACCAATCATCTCATGAAATTCAGAGACGCCCAATTAGTGATCAAAGAAACTAATTTCCGCAGGCACAAGTGCCTCGAATCAGCACTGATCGCTGTTTCGAATACAGTTAAACAGAACAACGGCAGCTTCACCATCTCCGAAGTCTTAGCAAGAATCCTCCTGAAAACAGTAAACCCTGCCATCACATAGTCTCTCCTGTTATACTACACAAAGCACAGAGAGTGAACACTGAAACAAGCTGCCTCATTCCAGTCCAACCTATTTTTATGTTACCCAAGTAATAGCTTTTATATCCTTTTACTCATGTGCGAATTAATTGCTCTACCATATTGTATTACTTTTGTCACTACCACTACTACTACTACTACCACTAGTGAACATCGAAATGGTACCTCACTAGTATTACACCTCACTCTGAGCCTATATATACCCTCTGTGTCCATGTATTGTTTGTAATGGCTTGATAAAGCTCCTGGAGAGCGAAACGTTGCCACAATAAATGTCACATTAGTTGCACTTGTGTCCTTTTACTTTACATATTGTCAGTAATTCTACCAACTTTATTACACCCTCTGGGTCATTCCTTGGTTTATTGTGTCGTATTTTATACAGAAGTTTGTTCCTTCTGTTCTCTAGCTCATTATTTTTCAACCTGTTTTGTTTTTACTGCACTGATTCTCTTTTTTTGTCTCTCTTGGTTTATGTCTACATTTATTATTTTTGTTCCTAGTAACTTTAGGTTTGGAAATGTTTTAAAGTTATTTATCACTCTTTTACTACTATTGTTTTATTTACTCCTACACGAGCATGTCTCTGACAAGAAAGTGATAAGAGTGAGTGATGGTGAAAATGTTTTTTCTTATTTTTGGTTCTACCTATCTTGGTGGGAAACAGCTGGTGTGTAAAAAAAAAAAATAGTGTTTAATAAGCTTTTAGTTGTTAGGATTGGTTGATTTTCATTTAATAACAAATTACCTTGTAGGTTACTAGTATCACAAGCAAAAACAGATACCCTGAGAATAACAGAGAAATATGGTATTGTAAATTATTTTTTATTATCAACAACTATGATAGCAACCTAATTTAAATATGCTAAAATTGGCATTAAATAAATTTACCTAACCTATATGAGAATTTACTTACAAGCCGACCCCGCTTATAGTGTTTCACTAATGCAGCAGTTTTCAATTATACCCATTCTTCATTTATTCAGACTTCCTACAATATATTCACTACTCACTATGAGCTAAGGATGAAAATATTATAGGGTAAGTATGTGTGTACACTGTACAGTAGGGCCCCACTTACATGGCAGGTTAGGTTCCAGGCTACCACCGGAAAGCAGAACGCCATTTTTTCCATTTATAAATGCCAGATAACAAGTTTACACTAAAATATATTAAGTTAGCAATAGAACTAGGTATTAAAAACAATAATAAGTAAAATACACACACAGTACACTCATTACTTAAACTATTTATAGTTTGAATGTAGGGCGAGAGGTAAAAAGTGCTTACTGTGAAAAGTCAGGTGTGGGAGGTATGGAAGCCAGCCAGGACACCCCACCCACACATAATATACTATGACATTTAAAGTGCTCCAGAGCGATAAAATGCATATACAGTACATTCATTACTTATCATAAAATATTTGTAGTCTTAATGTAGGGTGAGAGGTGAGTAGTGTTTGTTTGTAGGAAGTCAGGTGTGGGAGTTATGGAAGTCAGGTGTGGGAGTTATGGAAGTCAGGTGTGGGAGTTATGGTAGCCAGCCAGGCCAGGCCACCCAACCCACACGTAATATACTATGGCATTTAAAGTGCCCTAGAGTATTAAAATGCACATACAGTACACTCATTACTGACCTTACAATATTTGTAATCTTAATGTAGGGCGAGAGGTGAGTAAACAAGGTAAAACGAATAAATGAGAGAGAGAACGAGTGAATGAGAAATGAGATTATTATTATTATGTATTATGATCATGGGGAGCACTAAACCCATAGGATTATACAGCACATGTGGGAGGATGGAAGGTATTCAGGCTCAATTCTGGGAATCAGAGCACAGATCCAATTCCCTAGATCAAGAGTCCTTTACCAGCATTAAGGAACCTCCTATGAGGGGATGAGAGAGGAGAGAGACCTGGACTTATGTAAGCAAGCAGATGAATGCATCTGGTTTTGGTTCACACACGTAACATCTCATATTTATTTTAACTTATTCTATTGTGGGGTGTATTTATCATGTTTATATGTTACATAGCGTATTTATTATACAATTTTGAAAAAAATATCATGGATGGATTAATGAAAATGCTTATATTAACGTAATATACATCACTTTATGGCATCCTGAAGACTAATAAGACACTCTTAGTGATTTTAATGTGTACCTGAATGCCAGCACAGTGTGCAAGTTTATTTAGGTACAGGTACACATAAGTATACATAATTATCAGAGTATACAAAACATGAAATAACTTTAAAACACTTGAAATTTTGGAAAGTTTCTAGACATAATAATAAATATAGTGACCCCCAACCAACGGCAGCTTCAACTAATGCCAAATTCATGTAACGGCGCTCTTTGGCATCATAAAATTGGCTCTACCAACGGCAAAAAACTCATCTAACGGCTTTCGTCCTGAACATGTCCATGCGGCCGGAGCGCAGCCTGAGCGGGCCCAGCCACTCCAAGGCTCAGTGTGCCATTATTTACAAACCGTTGTGGTCAATTTCACGTGTACCTGCGATACATTTTGTATTATTCCAGTGTTTTTAGTGCTTGTAACTACTAAATAAGCCACCATGGGCCCCAAGAAAGCTTCTAGTGCCAAGCCTGTGGTAAAAAGGGTGAGAATTACAATGGAAATGAAGAAAGAGATCATTGAAAAATATGAAAGTGGAGTGCGTATGTCCGAGTTGGAAAGGCTATATAACAAACCCCATTCAACCATTATTACTATCTTGGCAAACAAAAAGGCAATCAAGGAAGCTGTTGTTGTGAAAGGTGCCAGTATATTTTCAAAACGGAGATGGCAAATAATTGAAGAGGTGTAGAGACTGTTGTTGGTGTGGATAAATGAAATAGTCAATAATATGTGAAAAGGCAAGGCAGTTGCATGATGATCTCATTAACCCTTTCAGGGTCCAAAGGCCAAATTTCAAAGTGTGCACCAATGTCCAAGAATTTTCAAAAAATAATTTTATTTTTTATATAAAATGATAGAGAATCTTCTTCTGAAGGTAATAAAATAAAAAGTATGAAATTTGATGGAAAATTGATGAAATTATGCTCTCGCGAATTTTGATGTGTCAGCGATATTTATGCATCGGTGATTATGCAGACTTTGACTCACATTTTAGGCCAATTATATTACCTCAGTTGACCAAATTCTTAGCTATTTCACTAGTAATACTTCTATTCAATCGATTGAGCACAAGAAATCACCAAGTCAACTGTTTCAACTACAAAACAAAGTGATCGGAAATTAGTAATTTGGCCAATTTAATGCAAAGTTCAAAGTATTCTAATTTCAAAATAAGGTCCAGAATAAACAATACAGGCATTCCTGGAACTAAACTAACATTTTCTCTGTTCATTA